CTCTCTCTCTCTCTCTCTCTCTCTCTCTCTCTCTCTCTCTCTCTCTATACAAACACACCTATAAAAAAAAAGAGCGCATGACTAATTTGCGCATGGCGCACCGCAAGTATGGCTTGAACCCATTGTTTCAGTGCAGTTGACTCTGTTTGGGACTTTCATGCAAGCATGCGGCTTCAGTTCAAAATTGTCCACCATTTTCTCTGTCTCTGTTCTGTCAGACAGCACACATGTGATGACCCGACCAAACACGGACTGAGACACACAGCTGATTTCTGAGTTTTGCTCATGGACTGAATGCCTTCCTGAGTTTCCCGCTTGCTACTAAGTTCTCTAAGTCTGTGTGTGGGCACTCTTGCTGGTCTGAATGTCTGTCTGAGTGCTTGTTGGCTTGAGTGTGTGTGTGACCCGCAAGGGTACTTGTTCGTTCGTTGGGCCCTCAGGGCCGGTACTTACCTGTGGCCGTGACATTGAGGGTTGCAGCGGGAAAAACACTCAAGTGGTGGAGGAAGAGGTCCGCAACACTTGAAGCAGCGGGGAAACACTAAAGTAGCAGGTATGCCGGTGTGAGGAAACCCGGGGAGGGGCCGCCTACCATTCGCCGAAGCCAAGGGCAACGGCGCCTGTCACTCGCCGCGCCCGCGTCTGAGGTCGTCAGCGACCAGCGGGGTCTCGAGGTTTGCATTGCCTGTCAGACACACGTTTTCAAGGAGAGAGCATACCTCTCTTCATTTCACCATTAAAGCGCAGACAATTCACTTTGAGATCGAGAGTCCCACAACGTCCTGGTTGCATTGAGCCTTCACTTACGGCCAATCATTCTCAGGATGGAAACCCCGTGTTTTTTTTTTTTTTTTTTTTTTTTTTTAAATCTGGGGTTGACTAGCTGTAGTTACTCGGGAAGTGTACGTTTAAACTTTAAACCTTGTTGATTTCGGGTGTGTTCACTGTACCATGAAACTGCGCGTGGGGCAATCACGAGCAATGGCGAAGGGGTTTTTCCCTGGCTTAGATCAGGCACTGTTTCTAGTGCTCGCAAAAATTAAGGGAGCAGTATCGAATATTCTATTAGATCATAGAAAGATAAACCGCCATTAACCCACAGCCCGCCGAAGTCCATGCCCGACCGTTCATCAACGAAACGGCGAGAACGAATCTGTGCACCTGGAGGTCACTCGCAAAGTGGGATAAGGGGTATGCCTTTTGCCGTCACTTGGGCACACACTCGCAGAGCCGGCCACTCACTCTTATCCTTTGACGCCCGTTTCGTCAGATTTGCGGAACTAGTAGACTAAGACATGGCCGCCCTGGCCGTTTTTGTGGCCCGGTGAGAGAAAGTAATATCAACCCTCCACTCTTTCTCTCTCTTTCTGTGACAGTCACTAAGTAGATCAGAGAGACCGCAGCCTCGTTTCACTATTCAGCAGACAAAGGATTCGAGAATGAATCTCCAGCTAGAGCAAAGGAATTATACCGCTGTACTTCAAGCTGCAATCAGACTCGTTTTCAAACACACTTTTCATGCATGTAAACAGCAACGCAGCATACTGGCGACATGCGCCCACTCAAAACTCAGAGATATGGCTTTCAGATACGAGTTCACTCTCAATTGGCTATGGCGACTTCAAC